CACCGCAGGAACGAATGCAAATAAAGCAAGCCCTCAATTTTGCTGGATCTGGCCACTGGTACAAGTGTCCTCGCGGTCACGTCTACGCCATCGGCGACTGTGGTCTCGCTAACCAAGTGTCGAGGTGCCCTGAAGCAGGCTGTGGTGCCGTCATTGGGGGACATCACTACCAGCTCGACGGATCCAATACCCTTGCTGCTGAAATGGAGTGAGCTCGGGGTGTAAACTAAGCTATGGTGCCGTCATTGTGGGCATCACTTGCAGCTGGGCGGATCCAATACCCTTGCTACTGAAATGGAGTGAGCGCGAGGTGTAAACTAAGCTGTGGTGCCGTCATTATGGGCATAACTTGCAGCTGCACGGATGCAATACCCTAGCTACTGAAACGGTGTATGCGCGAGGTATAAACTAAGCTATGGTGCCATCAATGTGGGCATCACTTGCAGCTGCTCAGATCCAATAACCGTGCATCTGTAATGGAGTGAACGCGTAGTGTGAACGAAGCTGAGGTGCGGTCATTGTGGGCATCACTTGCAACTAGACGGATCCAATACCAGTGCTTTTGAAAATAATTAAACGCCATTGCAGTGTGTTCGAATTGGATCCTCTTTTCTTTTTGTGCAAAATTACAAGCTCGTATAGAGCGATTGGCAAATATTAAGTTTATTAATGGTGAGAAGTCCGTGTCCAAACGTTTATGGTTCCGGGTTAAAATGTCAATTTATAAGAATGATGCTATTCCTGTGAAAACTGTTGAATTGAGTTTCTGTGCAAGCATCCTAATAGCGTGGCTCCGTTGTTTTGAAATGTTTACTACATGAATGTATTTTTCATCCAGGAAGAAACTCAGCAGCATACGCTGTTCAATGTGGTCTTGCTTATCTAATTCATGTAGGACGCATAATTTGTAAGTAAATATTTGTCAGAAGAAAAACTTTTTTTGAAGAAAAATTAATTTTGTTTGTTCGCGCAATGCTTATAGTTGCGTTCGAAACCCAACGTCGGAAGAAGGAAAACGTCTAAAAGTACTATCATAACCACGCGAAAGCATTCACTTCGTTATTTTGTCTTCCGTTCCCGAAAGTATTCAGAACTGTCTAATTTATTTACTTCTTGAAATATTGCGATTTGATCATCGCTCATCGTAATTTTCAACCAATAAAAAGTGTATGTCATGTTCATTTTTTTTTGTGCTGTTCCCAAGTTTTTCAAATGGGTTTTGTTGTTCAAGTTTTGTTCAAAAATGTTCAAGTTTTTCTTGCTTTTCCTGACGAAGACTTCTCTATGGCAGAATGTAAGCGTGGTGAGTCAGTTCATGGAGGAGGTGCACTGCGAACTTCAGCGCATTCGCTACGTATCGATCATGAAGAGCGTCCGACCTCGTGGTCACAACGATCGGTTCTTGGAGACTGTGCGAGAAATCGACGCACTCATGGATCCAACCCGCGTCTTCACAGCGCAAGTGGAAAGAGACGTGAAAGCGCTTCTAAAGATTTGCGAAACTTTCGTTGGAGGCCTGGGCATCTCAAACGAAGAGAGACTTTTAGTTTTGAAGGCAATGAATGACGTCAAGAAGGGTGCGTGGTATAAGTGCCCCAATGAGCACATTTACTGCATCACCGAGTGTGGTGGCGCAATGGAGACTGCCGTGTGTCCTGATTGTGGCGCCGGTATTGGCGGAAGTAGTCATACTCTTCGCCCTGACAACCGCGTGGCGTCTGAAATGGATGGAGCGACCGCCCATGCCTGGCCGCAGTGATATTCTTGAAGCTTTCCTGTACCAAAAATCCAAAATATACGAACTTTAACTCTTTAATGAGCTCGGTACGGTAGTGACTTTTTGTTCCATACGTTGATGCAGGTATGGAGCGACCTGAATGGATGGAGCGACCGCCCATACCTGGCCGCAGAGATATCCTTGAAGCTTTCTTGTACAAAGATATAGGTTGGAATCTTAACTCTGCAATGGGTTCGGTAGTGACTTTTTGTCCCATACGTTGATGCTGGGATCTTGGAGGCCATGGTATCTTGCGCCTTTTCTTTCAATCTGAGTTCCCGTTCAAGTCTAAAACGATGTTGCCACTACGTATTAACTATTTTTCTCACGATATGCACGCGAAAAGTATCCAGTCTTCGAAACCTGAATGAAAAGCGACGTCAATAACACTGTTTGAATTTGATGTTTGATTTTCATAGCATTATTAAAGATCACTGCGTGCCATGCTTATTTATGTTGTGCTACATTGCTTCACAAAAAGGCCCGTCTTATTTTTTACCTGTACCTACAGTATTTATTGCGTTGTAATTATTTTATTGCAATGAACACGTTTTGGTTTATTTTTGATTTTCCACAGATTGGTGATTTTGATTCTTTCTCGGTTCTAATGTAGCAGTTACAAGTATTTTTGTTTGTGATGCATGGCTGTTACTAGGTGTAGAATAAACACTAAGATGTCTAATTACCAGCCCAAATCATAGTAAGTGTTACGGTCCTGATTTTAATTTGAACTTCTTCTTGTGAATAAATGGAATGCCATGCAGGATAGGCGCTTATGAGTGTTCCCACATGAATTGGTGGAGTATAATAGTATAAAAATTTTTATCTGCGTCACGTCGTGATTATATATCTGTATTTGTGTGTTACACGACTTACATCGCAGCACTCCGTGTGGCCAATACTAATGATTTATTGTGATACGCTGCATGTGATACTACAGCTTCAGATTGCCTTTATAACTGTAGTCGGATTTAACAAAAGCTTTATCTTCGTTTTAGTGGTAATGAAGTGTTGTATCATGAGCAATGTCTTGTCTCAAAAAGGATGCATTATTAAATGTTATTGCACGTTTTTAATGCAGTATTTGCGTAAGCATATATTTTTAAGCATTATTCTCAGTTATGTTCGATAAGAAACGCCACTAAGCATCTCGTACAAACTTGTTTATGAAGACTAAGCAATTATTCCAGCTGACATCACTCCTCCAGCATACAGAGTGAACTTGATGAATTTACTGATCAATTCGCTAATCACTATGAATTTTTTACCCAAGAAAAATATGAACGTGAATAAAAAATTGTTTTGTCACCATGTAATTACTACTTTATACACGACTTGATAATATATTCTATTTACTTTGTTACGATAGTTCATTAATATTATTCCGCTCGATTTGCCTCTATCTTTGGGGCACTAGCATTTCGCAAATGTATTTCGTGAGGTTTCTAATTAACAACTTTTATGATATTAGTCACGAGTTAGAGAGTGATGAACATCACTCATCGAATTTTTTGAGAATGTGTTTGCAGTGATTTACCGTTTTTTCGTTTGGTTTTTTGGCATTCTGCGAATAAAAGTGTTGCACTCACAATTTGTTTTGTTACTCCTGACCATCAAATTCTCGAGACATGAATATTTTCTATTTTTAAATGCGAGGCAGAAGAACTGTTCCGTTGACCCAAAACACGGCATTTTGAGCTTATTTCAAACTAGTAAGTTGTTGAATTGTTGATCTCTCATCTTATTTCCAAACGCATTTATTATAGCAATTGTGAAAATAATGAAGCTTTTAAGTGTGTAAATCTCATTTAACGTTTAGTGTGGTAAATTGTTGCCCTGTAAAAATATACTACATGAAATCGCCTGAAAAATTCCTTTTTGGCAATCTGAAACGAGTGTCATTCAATTTGTATATATTTTGAAAGGTTTTACTCGCTAAGAGCTGCAGCAACTCGAAAGAGAAGTGAATGATGCAGAATATTACATTGTGTCGTGAGTGTTTAGTTTACTCAAGATTATTACCACGTTTTTCTTAGCTTCGTTTCGTGTCTGTCTGTCTGTCATCAAAAATTCAAACCTTAATTTAGAGCACTTCTGAAGATCCTAGAAACTTGAAATTTGGCATGCATGCTTCTGCTGCCTAACAATTCAAGATTTCATCGTCAGAAATAACAAAATTTTTTTTAGAAAATAAAAGTAAATAAACTAAAAATTCACGGTTCGGAATTGAGTTTTTTTCTCGAACATCCAGACTTGCCAACCATGGAAATTGATTTAATTGCTAAAATTGCTAAACTAAAAAGTGGAAAATAAATATATATAAAAAAACATTAATAAAAACCACGTTTTTCTGGTTATTACAAAACTAATAATGAAATAAAAAAAACTTTTAAAAACCACGTTTTCTTAACGGACAAAAAAGAAAAACATCTACTACTACATAACATTACATAACATTTTACATAACTTAAATGTTATGTAAGAGTAAATGTTTTTCTTTTTTGTCCGTCAAGAAAACGTGGTTTTTAAGTTTTTTTTTGTTATTTTTTACTTTAAAATTCAATCTAAATTTTAACCAACCAATTCGTTACCGTTTCCTTTAATTAATTATTCATCTTCAGAAGACGAACGAATGACCTCGCCCTCCCCTTAAATTTATAATAGCAGACTATGTTCTGACCTAGCATCATACAAACCTGACGGCTGCTCTATTCCACCTTCCACACGCGGGGACGCAGTATAGACACCCCTACATAGCCCTTGCCCACAATTCAATATCTATTCCTTTCCGCTCGTAATCACGCTAGAGGGCATATTAGCCTGTGTGATTAAGTGCCTAAAGCCATAGGTGCCATTTCCCTTCCTGGAAATGAATCAATCAGCCAGATAACACCAAGCCGCCGAAGCAACAGCCGTGGGCAAATAGCCAAACTGTTGCGTGCTTGTATTAAACACAGCCTGGCGTCTTCGCGACTTTTGAACATAAGCGCCCGACATAACAGCGCCGTTACGTCACAGCCACTGCTTCATCGCGCTCTACTCCATAGGAAGAAGCGCAAACCGCCGTCCCTATAACGCCATGCCCCGGCTCTCCCCCTTCGCAGCCAGCAGAAGGCTTTTCTCGTTGCCCGATCAGTAATGCGCCTGGCGCGATGGAGGGACATAACCTAAACTATCCTAACCTAACCTGGCGCACAACTGGTCAGCAATTGAAGAAAGCCTTATGGCTGCGAAGGGGGAGAGCCGGGGCATGGCGTTATAGGGACGGCGGTTTGCGCTTCTGCCCGTGGAGTGCGACGGGATTACGCCAGTCCTGCAAATAGCACAGCAGGTTTACGGTGACCCGGCGTGGTCTGCGGCGGGACGCCTGTCGGAGACCACAACTGCCGTGCTTCGAATGGACTATCATGATCCCTTCCCTGAAGAACGTAGCCTACAACACTTCTTGACTGTAACATTATCAGCCGCACGCTACCAGACAGATCACATCCATTGAATTAGATCAATCAGCCCACAGGAAAATAAGCCTGGCGTCGTATAGCCCAGCGTCGTCTGCCAACACGCGAAAAAATTTTACACCACCCGGACGTAGCGCGCCGGAGCCGTCCGTATCTGTCCCGTGTGTCGAATCAGCCCACGGTCGAACGGCCACGCGTCGTACGACGTTAAATTTTGGAACAGAACTATGCTATCTGGAACCTAACCCCAGATGCTGTGAGCTAAAATTTACGTAATTTAGCGAAGCTGCGGAAGTCACTCGCCGGCGAACGATAGAGTTTGGAACAGAACTATGCTTTCTGACACCGGCCTAACCCCGGATGTTGAGCTAAGAGTGACGGTCTGGTGGTGCACGACTGCACGGCAGGATGCATGCAGTTCCACTGGCGACCTGGGCTGGTTGGTCGCAGTCCGTACTCCGTAGTTCGCAAGTTACAGTTCGAGCTAAAGTCAGGGTATGAAGTGATGATTCGATGCAACGTTCAGTGGCGCATAACCATTACTCTCTGGGCTATTCGCTTCAGAATGTGGTGACGTAAAGTTCCTAATATTTAAAGCAAGATGATGTCACGGGCTGGTTACCGACGGATAGCTTAATCCGCGGCTGATTGGTGGTCATCCGGAAATATGCTAGGCGTTCCTTTCAAGGCTGATTGGTGCACAAATTTAGTGGTGCACGGCTGCGTACCCTTTACAGATGACCGCGTACGAGCCACGACGAAAAAGAAAGATGAAGCTTGATTGCAGGGATAACAAGGCAGAAACAAAACGCAGGAATACGCGAGTAATTTGAATACGGGCTGTTCTCAAAGAGCACAGAGTAAAGTGAGCGCGTTTTATGACCATCTACGCTGGAAATCGGAGATTCGTTTTTTACGATACTTACCGAGTAACCGAGGTACCGGAACATGACGCAAGAAGAGAAAGTTGAGAGATAAAAATGTTGCCTATGATGTAGATATTCCGCTGAAGAAGCGGACGGCAAACTTTTTCTTACAAGGGCTCAGTAAAAATAGCAACATTAGCAAAAATATCTGGCAAGTCATATACTCAGCCAGACTGAAAATATGTGAATTTGTAACTGAATTCTCGTAGCGGTATATTCAATCTTTTGGTCAAAATTTCGGAATTTCTTCCTCAATTTGGTAATTATTTAATAATCAGATAGGTTAAAACTCCTAGCGGAAATACCGCTACTGCAGAAATGACGGTAAAAATCTAATTACGTCACACTCTCAATCTCTCATATTAGATGAGGTAAGATCGTTTGCCGATGAAGGCTCCAAATATTTTATTTTAATAATGTTCGTAGTCTGGTTAATTCGACATAATAGGATTTTTGGCTTTATTGCTTTCGATTCCTAATATAAACCAAACTGTTTCCACCATCTGTAGACTCAGTGTAGAGTGTAGGAAGTAGAATGACTCACTGACGCAGTGACGGTGGCTGACAGACTGACGCCTGCCATGCCCAAAATTGCCCATTGACACCGTTGCATCGCATTATGTCAATGTGTCGTGATTACGGTGTAAGAAAAAAAATCAATAATAATTGAGGGAAACTGCAAAAAATAAATAATATTTTAATAGAACCCAAATAGTCATTTAGGGCCAAAGAGGTCTCATAGCGGGCCATAGCTAATAAAGATGTGAAGTACCGTATAGTTACTATACAGTGCTGTCAAAGTTAAGAATAACTCTGTTCTGGGTTGACAGTCATAATCTTGAAGGATCTGTCTGATCTATTGTAGATAAACCTGAGGGGTTTGGGTTCATTATAATTGTCCGAATAACATATTAAATATTCATTTGCCAGCGGAAGGATAATGACAAGACGTGTATCTAAGCGTAAGTATTAAAGGTAGTTTACGGATACACTTAACAACATAACATAGTGATGTCGGCTCTGAAGTGTAGGCCTGATGTGGCCTGTCGCCGATTCTTTTCAATTTAGTGCCTTGTTCATAGATCTAAACTCGTGTCATTTGACCGGATCTTTTCATGACTGGCGATAGTTTGAAGAACTATTAATTTGATTCTACGTTCTCTGCGTATCACTGCGCTATTCATCAAATGTTTGTATGTTTGCAGGTGCAAGTTGCAACGTATTGATTAGTTCAAACTATTAATTTGATTCTTCTTTCTCTGCGCATCACTGCGCTATTCATCTAGTGTTGGTATGTTTGCAGGTGCAAGTCGCCATGTATTAATTAGTTTAAACTATTAATTTGATTCTTCTTTCTCTGCACATCACTGCGCTATTCATCAAGTGTTGGTATGTTTGCAGATGCAAGTCGCCCTGCAGCGCCGCATGTCCGCCTTGCCAGGAGAAGTGTCGCTGGAAATGCTCCCACAGCCGCTGCAATAAAATCTGTGGCGCTCCTTGCACTCCGTGCCAGGTAATGTGCAACTTATTTGTTTTTTTTTTTCAGTTAACTAACGCATCAAGTAGTTATTGAAGACTGATAATTTTTCAAAAGCCCCTTTGTTAGATTTATTGCAGGAGTAATTGAAGACCGTGCATGCAGAAGTCTCTTTCACTTGATTCCCAAATACCAAGATGCATCAAATCATATATCAAATGTTCTTTCGACATTAACAAATATTAAAAGAATGAATAAATCAAGTGTAACGAATCTCGTATCAAGCCCGCAAAGAATGTTACCTTTGTAGTGAGGCTACGAGGTTACTCAAGCTCTAAGCCTAGTCTGTTTTCTGGAGCCCACTAACAAAGAATGAACGACATTCTCGACAACACCTCACTGACCTAAGTTCTAATTAAACAAGATTTTTCATGCCATTGTTGTCTCTAAAAACTATTTGAGAAATAGTTGCAGTTGTTTGGCGTTTTTGCGGCGGGCAGTGTTCTATTTCAGAAGATTACTCCCGTTGTACACAAAAAGCCTATTACATATGAGGGCTTCGGATGGTAATGTGTCTAAGAAATTCTTGATGAATCTTTCTGCGATTTTCTTAGAATGCATCGGATTTTGCATTGATAACGAATGCTCTGTCACCAGGAGCCCTGCAGCAGCGAGTGCGAGCACCAGGCGGTGCGGTGCTCGAAGAAGTGCGGTGAGGCCTGCGACCAGGAGCCCTGCGAGGAACCGTGTCCCAAAACACTGGCGTGTGGTCACCCTTGCGTGGGTCTCTGTGGAGACCCCTGCCCTCCGCTGTGCCGCGAATGTAACTTCGACAAGCTTACGGAATTTGAACTCGTCTGCAACGAAAAGGACCCAGACGCCCGGTTAGTGAAAGGTTGCAAGCAGTTTTTCTTGCTAAATTTTTTATCATTACGGTTGATCACGTGAGGCTTTGATTCTTCGTTTTTCAGCTGCAGGTTATATCGCAGTAGAATTGACTCTCCCCTCGTTCATCGTTTAAGTATGAATGCGAAAGTATCATAAATCTTCCTAATACCAGTTTACTTACATACTATTGCCCGCTTGGATTATGAGTGCTTACTTAAGTTCCTGTTCTTAGCCCTGCGTTATGATGATCTAATGCTAGGTTGATCTAATGCTAGGTTCGTATTGCTACAAGGCTGGGGGCTGCAATATGCTATTGTCCATAATTATTATTAGTCTTTACTTGGGATCCTGCTCTTCACCCTACGTAAATATCATCTGTCATGTCCGTGCAGCTAAAAGACAGTATGCTGCAATTATATGATTACAGTATTCAACTATTCATAATGATTACCGTAGTCTTTAATTATTGACGTGTTCATCACCCTACGTAATGATGCTCTCGTGTCAGGTTCGTGCTGCTGCAAGACTGTGGTCACACCATTGAACACGATGGCCTCTCTGGCTGGCTCAAGCACAAGGCCGACAATAGCGTGCAGATGAAGCCATGCCCGCGTTGCAAGACGCCCATCTACAACAACCGTCGTTTCAACGCCCTCATCCTCGAGACTTATAAGGATGTCCAAACTGTGCTCTTCAAACATAGCGGCCAGCAAGTTCCTACCTTGAAACAGATCGTGGACAAATTCTCAAGTTAGTCAAACACTTCATAACGATACGATACCCAAGTGATTCAACCATATCTAGTTTTCACTGTTTTTCATTTCGTACATGTGGTACTTTTCGAGGAAATTGCTTTCATGTTCCTGGTCTCACAACGAAGCATGCTACTAGTGTGCCAGAAATCATGTCATATTTTTAATTAATTGCAAAAAAATTTTTACTCACCCTTCACGTTCATAATCAGTGCATTTTCTCTGCAGCAGAAAACATGGTCAATGACGCGGGACAGCCTGGTCTTGAACTGAATAATTCCCTGTTTTTCCTGGACTGCATCACCAAGAGTCAGATGCGGAAGACCGTCTTCAACTACATGAACGCGCTGCAATCTTCTAAACTCAAGGGAGTACGTTTTTTTATTGGTATTCAACGTGTGGAAGCGTCGTACGAATTTAATTCATACTTATAAATTCCTTAAAATTAGTTTTGAAGGTTTTAAATTTTGCGAAATATTGTTGGAAAAATATGGTCATTGCAGGCAGCCCTTGCGAGTGAAATCTCAGTAGGTGTATTTTGAATTAGAGAGAGATTTTAAAACTGTTTTCAATTCCAGCCGAAAGCTCGCCCGAAGGAATTCAGGTTGGATGCTGCACAGCTACATCTGTTGAATTTCCAAGCGGATGTGGTCATCATGGCCAAGAAGATCCACGATGAGCTTGACGAGTCGCTTAAAAAAGACCTGGAGCGCTTGATGGAGCGAGTCATGAGTCAAGTGAGTGGGGGAAAATAGACGTGCCGACGGTGCAGTGTGATGGAGCGAGTCATGAGTCAGGTGAGTGAGGGGTCAAGAAACGTGCCGGCGGTGCGGTGTGATGGAGCGAGTCATGAGTCAGGTGAGTGAGGGTCAATAGACGTGCCAGCGGTGCAGTGTGATGGAG